GACGAGATGAGTGTTTGGTGACAGCTTTATTGTGTGAGATCTACTCTGCATCCGGACCTTAGGGGGCATGAGTAGCCATTGACTGTCCTCCTATAGCCCGTTGGAGTAGTGACCCCTGCAAACTTACGTAGACGGCCCCCATGTGCTAACCTCCGCCTGAAACCTCGCGTGAGCTGCCATTGACAGGGTGTCAGCTTGCACAGACTTTTGGCGTGGTTCCTCAAAGGCGATATGTGGATTTTATGCCCGAGTTCCATAGGCACTCAACTCGAAGCACTTTACCTGCTGGGCACTGACAGGACAATGAAGGAATGCAAGAAGTATTCTTTCCTGACCCCGACACACCCTGAAGGGACTGCGAGTGGCGCGGCTCACTGCTACTGACCGGCGGCAGTGCCGAGGGAGCCGTACCGAGCGAGGTGCGAAAGCTAGCTGTAGCCAATTGCAGCGGCTTGGCTTCGGTGCATTCGGAGTTTCCTTTCACTTTATAAGGTCTATATTAATTAACGTCGAACTCCCCAAGCCTACAATTTAGGCTCTTTCGTGGGAACTGGTCTCAGAGCTGCGGTTATTTTTGCCATGTTATCGGCTTCGGGGCTGCCCTAAACTGTCTGGTGCATAGTAGGGAATGGGGGAATGGGTTATATGGGGACTAGTATTAGGGTTTAGGGTTTAGGGTTTGAGAGCTGAACTTCTGCGGGCTCGGACATTCAGGCGATTGCACAAGTCCTGATGCAAAAAAACGGTTTAGGGTTTAGGGTTAGTAACTATAAGGGACCTTGAGAAATTATCATAGGGATCCATTCTTCCATTCCCTACTAAGCACCGGACAGTAAATCCTAAGCATTGGGGATGTTTAGCAGGTCTTACCTTTGCATTGTGGTGAGGGGGTAGCAGGGACTGCCCGATGTACCTTATGATGAAAACCTACATTACACCCATTTAGATATGTACAGCCACAGTTCATGATTGTGATCGTGAAAATTTTGTTTTCAATTTGAGCACGGTTCTGTGCATACATTCTGTCTGCTGCTATCTGCTACTAGCACCGTTTTCTACAGCGGCAGCTCATGAAAGCACTATATAAAATACCCAACCCGATGCCCCAACCCTAAGCCCAAACCCTCAACCCCTAAACCCTCAACTCCTAAACCGCAAGACCCCTAAACCCCTAGACCCTAAACCCCTAAACGCCTAAAGACCCAAACCCTAAACCCTTAAAG